GTGGCACCACCCACAGTGGGCTGGGCCCTCCCACATTGCTCATCAAGAAGATGCCCCTCAGACATGGCCACAGGCCAGTCCAATAGAGACAATTCCCCAATTGAGGCTCCCTCAACCCAGGTGTGTCAAGTTGACACTAACACTATCCAGCACACACAGGAACTAACCGGGGTCTCCCAAGAACCTCACTGATCTCTTCTAGGGCAGTACCCTAAAGGTTTCACCACCCCAACACCAACACCACCACATAGAAAACCAAGCTTCTAGGACACAAACACTTAGGGAACACAACCCATTTCCAAATCACAGCTGTCAATTTGGTCAGAACTCCATCAAGACCGGCTCACCCTTGCTACAGTCTTACATTCCTCATCCCACCACCATCCCCCAAGTGGTGTCTGGCCACTGGAGCCCATCATCACCAAGCATCCTGTAAGACTGATCAGTTAGAATCCTCCTTACCCCAGGCACTTTATCCTCATTTTTATCCACTCAACACGAGCCTGCACCCCGAGCCCTCTGCTATATACCCGTATTTTTCTTGTATTTGGAGGTAATTTGGGCAGAATCTCTCTTCCGTTCCATAAAATCCCATTACAGTTGGACCCTCTACTGATTAAAGTCTGCCTTGCTGCTCTTTAAAAAAGAATTGCAATTTTCTTTTCCTTTAGAACATCACCCTCTGCCCTCAAACACTGTAATTCTCTTAACATGCATCACACAGAGATGAAGACACTGAACAGGTGACAGCTGTCACTTTAGCTGCAGAGACTTATTTTCAACTCACCTATGAACCCCTCAAAATTCAACCCCATAAGCAAAGGCATCCTGACTCCCCAAAAATAACTATTTCCATGCAGGGTTTATTTATTAATAATAAGAAGTTCCCTAAAAGAGCATTAGTAGCGGTAGTAAAAAATACAGTGAGTGTACCTAAGTATGCATTTGAATACAATTAATGGATGGCAAGGTTAGAGGTATGGGGAAAGGGAACTAGGAATTTAAAACGAGGGCAAAATTTGAAGTTAGGCACATAAAAACAGGTTTCTCCTAATTCCAACAGCTTTCACAAAAATTTAGTTCTAAGCTCTCCAGCAGGCTAGGAAGAAGGAAACACACAGAAGTATTAAATTCTCAGTGCTGCGAGCAAAGCCTGATCCCCTTCCCAAAATGGTCCAGAAAGGTCTGAAGGCTGAAAGCTCTTCATCAATTTGATATAAATACATTTAATGGCAAAACTTGAGCTGGATGGTATGAGGCTGTGAGGCGTTTATCTTCTTAAATACTTACCTAACTTCATTAAGTGTAGACTAGGAATATGTCTAACTAAAGGGTACCTAGCTAGAACCTACGAGGTTTGTTTTTAAACTCAAAATCTACAGTATTTAAATCATTCAACTTTCTAAACACCCAAAAAATCCTGAATTTCAAAACATCTAATTCTAATATTTTAAATCAATAACAATAAATCTCTGCCTGGTACATATGTTGCCTGAGATAAGGGGTAAACTTTATACTTCTTGTGGAAAAACAAAGACAAAAATAATAAAAAATTTAAATTCTAGGAGCAGGTGATATGGCTGGGTAGGTAAAGTTGCCTGCCACCAAGCCTGAGGAGCTGAGTCGGATCTGATGCTTGGTTCTAAGCAGGCTGCCCTGTGTTGTGTGAACTGAGGTCCTGTCTTTGAGAGAAGGCTCACTAGAAAGGCTGAGGAAAGACCGATAGCCAGGAAGACTCCAAGTCTTGTCCTCATCTGCATCCTGTTGCCCAGTGTCCAGGAGCCTACCAAGCAGCTAGAGAGACGTGGATGCAAGTGATCTTGCCACAGGAAGGAAAGACAGCAAAGTAGGGAAGACATTTTAGGAGACAGCAGCTACTTACAGAGTCTGAAAGAAAGCAGCTACCTAACCATTAACGAAATCACTTGCAGTGCAGTGCTAGTGTTATTTCAGATCCAAAGACTGGTCTTTGAAATACTTAAAAAAAAAAAAATTATTGGTCCCACACCCCCCTCCCCAGCTTTTGCCAATGATAAATAAGAACACAGTAGAAATGTTATTTTAACAATTGTAACATAACATGTCAATAACTACAGTGACTTAATTTGCTTATTAATTCAACCTGAATTTATCATTCTTTTTTATTTAAAAACAAAAAAGTCTATGCTCATTTCTGAAAATTTGAGATCTGCCTTTAGCTGACTCAATGAAAATTCAGCCTGTCTGATAAGAAATGCTGAAGTTGGCAGAGCATGGTGATACACACCTTCAATCCCAGTACACAGGAGGCAGAGGCAGGCGGATCTCTGAGTTTAAGGTCAGTCGGGCCTGCATAGTGAGTACAGGCCAGCCAGGGCCTCATAGTGAGACCATAGGTCAAAAATATGCTGAAGTTGACTATCAACTTAGAAGCTCTAAGTCTTATACAAGTGGTTAGCTACCTAGCCAGACTGAACAGGAAGTCTGCTTCTAGTATTGAGTTAATTTATTCACACTACTCATGCATCCAGTGGCTTCAATTTAAATTTCTGCAACCGCAAACAATCTCTGTGAGGCCCAATCAGCCATCTTGGTTTAGAAAGTGCCTTAAGAACTCACTGGCAGTGGAAGGTGCCACCCTCTGTGCTCCCAAAGCACAGAGCTTTATTACCACTGGCTCTCAGGACCCATTCATTCCCTCCTCAATGCCAGAACACAAATATAGCCAAAAGAATAAAAGGAAATACTCTAAAACTGACCTCCCTTTCATGTCATGAGGGTATTCTGGTTTTACTGGGCAGCTTTATAATTTATAATCTAAGTATGAATTATAAGAACAGTAATTAACCAACTCTATGAAGCCCAAAGAAAGCAGAAAGCAGCAGTACTGTGGCATAGGGGAGCTTCTTGGAAAGACCTTGGCCCTGCCCCATATCCACCGACTCAGAAACCGTGTGAACTCAGAACCTGTCTTCTCAGCAGAATCCTGCAGGCTTTATGTGAAGTCTGAGGTGTCCTGACTTAGAAAAACACAGCCATGACAACGCCTTGACAGTTGGGGCAGGATGACAGCTTCTCAGTCTCCTGGCAGAATACCACGCACAGGAGGTGGTACAGTATAAAACAGACTGTTCCACTGCTGCTAATCTGCGAGAAGTCTCCAAGGACTCTGTTCTCTCATTTATAACATGAGGATAAAAACCCTGTATGGTAAGATTACCACAAAGACTCAATGAGGTAATAATTAATCAATTCATGAAACTTACTAAATCGAAGAAATTCAGGTCCCTGCACTTAACACGTCTGGTTTTAAAAAATATATATATTTTTAATGTTTGAGTGTTTTGCCTACTTGTAAGTGCACCCAAGTGTGCAATGCCTGCGGCGGCCTGAAGAGGGTGTCAGGTCCCTTGGACCTGGAGTTATCAATGGTTGCTAGCCACTATATGGGTATTGGGAACCAAACCTGGGTCCTCAGTAAGAGCAGTGAATGCTCTTAACCACTGAGCCATGTCTTCAGTCCCCACATCTGGCTTTTCAAGAATTGTTATGGCTCAGGTGAGTACACATGCTGATGGGCCTGTCAGGCCTTGGTCAGGTCTGCTGTCTTGGTGTGGCTGATGATGGCACCTACTTCTTGGCCTGGGCAATTGACATACTGTCACATGGTCACACCTAACTCTTTGAGTGTTCCTGTGAGCAAAGCACTATCAGCTGAACAACCTATACCTGAGGGTCTCAGCAAAGAGAAGCTGCTGACTAGGACAGACAAAAACCAGCGTTTGCCAACCATACACATGAATGAAAACAGCAGAACAGTAATGGCTTTCCTTTCACATCAATGAAGCACAGCACTTGAGGAAGATCTAGGAATAACATCAAACATTCAAATGCTCAGCATGCTTTCCATGGGCTTAACCTGTAAGCATGCAACACAGGAGTTTGCCTAGTATCTTCCATCATTCACAATCTCACTAGCCTAACTTGCAGACTATTATGCTACATGTCTGGCACCAAGCTCTCTCAGAGCCAAGTCACTAGGATAAAACAGCTTCACTTATATATGACCATTTAGAAAATTTACTATTGCAGAAGCTGCATAAATATTAAGAGTTAGTTCCAGCAGGAGTCAGCCATCCCAGACACATTCCTGTGATGGTGTTACACCACTGGGAGTGTTAGGTCTCGTCTTCAACCACCTGCGTGGTCACTGATCTGGTACATGTAGCAATGGTGTGAGGCAGAACTGTGCTTCCTTCAGAGTGTACTAAGCGTTTGGGTGCTTAGTTGTAGTGTGGGAGCAGCAGTACAAAAATAAATGAATGAATAAATGAACAAATAAATAAGCAGGAGTTAGGACGTTTTCTGGTACAAAATCTCAGCTCCTCTCTCACAAAGAGCTCCTACTTTGATGGCCACTGAGCCAAATGATATAAAACTTGTTGAGGCATGCTGATCTAAAACGGGAAAATACTTGAGTGGCAGGAAGCCAACAACCATGGCTGCCCAGGCTACAAGTCAGCGACTTCCATTGTCAGCCTGATGCCACCCCACCCCCAGCTGTGTGACAGTGGTGACTACATCTCTGCACAGGTCAGCAACGGGGAGCAGCTGGGGGGCAGCACATCTCTGTTAGCTGAGCTTGCTATGACCAGCAAGCTAGTGGTACACCACCACTGAAAACACTGCCTTGATCCAAACAGTCTGGGGCTGAAACCCTCAGGGACACTTTCACCTACTTGATTTTTGGTGGGATTATTTAACAAACTAAGATTATCTGAGAGGGAAAAACAATAATAACAAAATCTTTGTAAATGTTTACTCACTATCATCAACAGAAGGCATGGGGCTTGGAACTTTGTGGGTTCAACATTAAACATTTGAGGGACTGGGGTATAAAGTCAGTATTTAGCACATGTGAAACTCTGGGTTTGGTCTCTAGCACTATTACATTTGACTAACAAAGTGTTTGAAGGTTTGGACCTTCAATTTCCATCTTACCCCAGTCAAACTGGCTAAGATCAAGAGAACAAATGATACCAAATGTTGGAGAGAATGTGGGGAAAGGGAAATGCTCATCCACTTGCAAACTCATGTAACCCCTATGGAAAGCAGTGTGGAGAACTCTTAAAAAAACCTACCATTTGACCCAGTTATACCACTCCTTGGCATATACCCAAAGGACTCATCCTATTGCAGAAACACTTGTACATCCACGTCTGTTACTGCTCTTTTCACAATAGCTAAGAGGTGGACGCAACATAAGTATCCCTCAATTGATGAGTGGATAATGAAAATGTGGAGTTTTCATTTACACAATGGAGTTTTACTCAGTGGTAAAGAAAGATGAAATCATGAAATTTGTAGGTAAATGGATGAACTAGAAACTGTTACACTAAGTGAAGTAACAAAGACTCAGAAAAACAAATGATGTATATTCTCCCTCGTATGTGGATTCTAGCATCAAATCCTTATAAGTAAGTATGCATCCACACACAACTGCAGGAACCAGAATAATGAAAAGGTACAGGGAGGGAAAGGGAAAGGAAGAATATGAGAGAAAAAAAAAAACAGTAGGAGACAGGTATTACTGGGAGAAATGGATAAAATGGGGGTATGTAAATGGGAGCGGGGAGGGAGGGTTATAACCTTGGGGATAAGTGAAAGAAGGCGTTCAAGAGAAGTGTGACCATAGGTGTTGGGTATTATCAAGGGAGAAATGGGGAAAATATGGACACTTTAAATGGGGAAATCACCACAGAAGATGGGTTAGACAGTGAAAGAGAGTGGAGAGATAAATAATGCCTAGCTAGTTTAAAAAAACAGAGGGAGTCGTATTAGTCCAACAACCTAATAACAAACTACACATACAGTTATCTCTACATGACTCCATGTATATAGCTAAAGGCTACATAACAAGGAACAGTGCCAGAAAGAAGCCTTCCATGAGTTATTGGCCAGGGTGGTCCAAGAGACTCCCAAAATTACTTAGGCTATTGCCACAGCCCTTGATGGCCTCTCAGAACCTGAAGGTAAGACCCTACTGCTAAAGACAGAACATACATCAGACACAGGATTTGGAGCAATAGAGCTGCAACTGACCTGAAACCACTTCCCCTGAAGGCTAGCTCTCAGAGCTTTGGAGAACACCGTGAAGGTGCTAAGAGAAAACATCAATCAATGGTCTAACACCAGCTTCAAGGCCAAATAACCATATCAATGGCCAGAACAGTATACAAAATTGGCAATTTTATGTTGAGGGCAATCAACAGCTACTGAATTGGACTAAAAGCCCACTCAGTGGGAGGAAACCCAAGTGTGGTACTGTAAACATAGTTAAATACACATGGCTGACGTGGTCATAGATCTTAGAGAAAACCCCAAGACTCTCACATCCCTAAATATTTGATTTTTTAAAATCTAAACGAGTGGTGACAAGTTTGATGACAAGTTTATGCATTAATAAAATATTCTCCAAATACAGAGAGCAAAAGAAAAAGAACCAGGAGGAAATACCTGTCCACCAGAATACCTCCCAGTAGAAGTATTTCTCTTTTTTTTTCTTTTAATTTTTATTTATTATTTTTATTTTATGTGTATGAGTGTATTGCCTGCATGTATGTGAGTGCACCCATGTTGTGCAATGCCATGGAGGTCAGAAGAGGGCGTTGGATTCCCCTGGAATTGGATTTAAGGATGGTTCATAGCCACCATGTGGGTGCTGGGAATCGAACCTGGGTCCTCTGCAAGATCAGTCAGTGCTCTTAACTGCTGAGCTATCTCTCCAGCCCCCAGAAGAAGTCTTACACTTCTCAATTTCTGGTAGGCAAAAAAAAGTTATATATCAAAGACCTAAACAATAAGCTTAAAAGGAAGACTTAAACAGAGTTGGACAAAATCCCAGACACAGCTCTTAAAAAACATACAATCCAGGGCTGGAGAGATGGCTCAGCAGTTGAGAGCACTGACTGCTCTTGCAGAGGACACAGGTTCGATTCCCAGCACCCATATGGCAGCTAATAACCATCTGTAACTCCAGTTCGAGGGGATCTAAAGCCTTTTTCTGACCTCCTCAGGCATTGCATGACACAGGTACACTTACACACATGTGGGCAATACACTCATGTACATAAAATAACACCCTCATTTTAAACTGCTAGGCCTCATGGTACACACCTACAGTTCTAATACTAGAAGGACTAGGTCAGGAGGAGCCTATGTTTAAGGCTAACCTGGGCTAAATAGTGACTTTTAGGCCAATCAGCTTTATATGAGACATTGTCTAAAACAAACAGAACAACAGCTACATTTAACTACATTTCTAAACAAGTCCTGGGTCAAAAAAAGAAATCACAATAGTAATTAACAACAACATAAATACATTATACTAAAATAATAGAATGCAGCTGAGGTACTGCATCATGAAATTTTAATTTAACAGAATTTGAATTTAAATATGTACATTACACAAGTCTGAATAATTAGTTACGTGTCCATCTTTTTAAAACATCAACTTTTTCCCTTTTTAAAAGAATTTTTGCGAATTTCATACATTGTATTTTGATCATATTTAGATCCCCTCCTATATCTGCATCATCCCTTACCAACCCCCACCAAATTTCCTATACATAAATATAAAGTAAGTTATATATAAGGCTGTGTCTACTTTAAGATGTCAGGGATGTGGATGAAACAAAGAAGGAAGAAATGAATGATAACAAAGCAAAAACTACTAGTGAACTAAAAATAGAGAGACAAAATTCACATTTGTTCATTGAAAATACTAATGGGATAGACAAACTCCTGCCAAGATTAATAAAGAAAAAAAATTAGATAAACAATACCGAATGAAAGGGACATAATTAAGCTGAATTTGCAAGATAAAAAATACTATAAATAACGATGCCAATAAACTTAAGAACTTGGATTAAATTTCTAGACAATTACAACTTAGCAAAGTTTATTAAGAAGAAAGGAAGGCCCAACAGTCCAATGACTCCCAAAGAACCACTCATTTAAAAAACCTTCCCACAGAGAAAGTAAATAATAAATGGTTTTATGGATGAATTTTGACCAAGTTTTAAGAAAGAGATGATTACAGTTTTATTAAAAAAAATGTGTAGAGAACAGAAAAAGAAGGAACCCGTAGCAACTCACCAGCTCATTTTATGAAATGGTCTATAGTTAATACCAGGGAAGAGCAGGACAAAGAAAACCATGAGCCCATCTCACAAACCAAATGCCTCTATTCACAAAATACCAGCAAGAAGTCAGCTCTGCATTAAGAAACAATAAGTGAGGACCCACATTGTTAGATCCCAGAATCCAAAGGGACCTTAATGTTCATGTCTAATATTCACACTTGCTACATTAAGAGCTCACCAGAAAAGAGCAACCTGCTACCTCAAGAGATGGGGTGAAATCTGATAAGAGTATGATGCTCATCAATGGTATTTTTTTTTTTTAATTTACAAACTGAAAATAGAAAGGAATATACTTTTCTTGGCATCTCCACCAAACCTGTAACAAACGTCTTCCTTCATGATAAAGCATTAGAAACATTTCTTTAAAAATCAGTATAGAGGGCCAGGCGTGGTGGCGCATGCCTTTAACATCAGCACTCAAGAAGGAGAGGGAGGTAAATCTCTGTGACATCAAGGCTAGCCTGGTCTACATAGCAAGTTCCAGGCCAACTGGGGCCACGGGGAAACCCTATCTCAAACAACAAAAAACAAAAACTGAAAAAACTCAGTATTGAAAAAAATAACAGAAATCAATCAGAATGTGGGTAAGTCCCATCCATACACAGTTTCTACTCAAAAAGTGGGCTGGGACAAGAATATATGGAAAGAATCAAACTCATTCACAGAAATCACCTTAAGAAATCCTTAAAATTCTATAGGAAATTATTAGAATTAGTAAAGACTTAGTAAGGCTGCTGAATGTAAGGCTGACATATGTAAAAATACAGTCTTCACAGTGGTATGAGACAGAAGGACAGTCCTGTTCCATACAAGGCAGTATGAGTGCAGGCGAGCAAGTAATACAAGGTAGAAGGCTGAAAAACCAGAGACACAAGAGGTTACTGTCACACTTGAGCAGGGTGCACAGTTGGTATCTGGGTCTACCTAGGGGCTCAGATACTTCAATTTAGTTACACAGAGTCCTGGGGGCGCGGGGGGGGGGAACCTGGTCTGAAAAAGTGGGATGGCAACAGGACCTTAGAACAAAAGCAACGCTAACCCTAACCCTTGGGCTTGGGCTCATTTTCAGAAATTTACCTAAAACCTGATGTGAAGAGATCAAAAACTCAGGGTGGGGAAAGAATGATCCTAATGATGCCATTTAGGAATCAGCATCCAGGGGTTGGGAGAGAAAAGAAGAAAACTCTAGGGTCTCAAATTATCTGAGGATCAGGTCACCTCGCTTCTAGGAAGGTGTCTTGGAGGTGGTTAAGGGTCAGGCATCCAGACTGGAAGTACTTTGAGTCTTTACTGTTGGGTGTAGGAGCCAAGATTATCTTCTTGACTCCTAGAACCCAATAATTATGACGACTTGCTGTGATTTTATAAGGCATTTGGGGATGGGGTGTACAATCTGCCATTAAATATAAACAGGTAATCAACAAGGGACTGTAGGTCTTTTGTGGGGGGAATGCTGCCTATTAGAAAGGAGGATAACGACCACTCTTCCAGAAGTGTGGGCTGCCTCAGAGCAACTGGAACATGCTGAAGGCTACATCCAATAAGGAAAAAGAGGGACAACAATGGTTGGCTCCCACATACAACAGGTCCCAGCGGCATCCAAGAGCAGATGGATTTGCAGGGGGCTGTCAAATGAACAGCCCTGGTGTTTGTCATCTGACCTGCGTGGCACCTATGAATCTGACAAGCCGACTTCTAATTCTTCCCACTCAAGGAGTTGGGTGCTCTGCTCTAGTCGGTGTTAGCGAATTCCTGACAGATTATCATGGATTATCTCTGTGAGCTTTCTAGAATATGCCTCATGATGAAAAACAAAATCCTTTCCTGAAAGCAAAAGGACAGGAAATTAAGCATGAAGATGCAGCCCTGTTATTTTTCCTTATGAGCTTACATGTCATTTCTTTTTAAAGACCTGGACTTTAGGTTATTAACTCCTTGTCCTTAAGGCTAGAGCTGCCCTATTAAAAAAAATGAAAGGAAAAAAGGAAAAAAGAATCAAGCCACTTGGTGTCTTAATTACAACAAGAAGAGGCAAGCCCTCTGTGAAGCACATATGTCTCTTGCCTGTGGGCATACTTTCTGCTCTCTCCATGAAATCATAAAATTATTTCAAATTCCTTAGTGATGTGTCTGCAAGTCCCTGAAGGGCACTGAACATGATTCTGAGTCTGAACATGGAATTAATTCAGAGCAGTTCAATGCTTTCCCCACAGCTTGTCTATCTTGGAGTGTATTGGGGCTTATTACTATTTTCTTGCAATTATCTAGTTCAAAAGGGCTCACTCACTCTTTCTTTTTTTTCTCTCTTAGAAAGGATCTCGAGATTGGCCTTGAACTCCTGATCCACCTGCCTCTACCTCCCAAGTGCTGGGATTACATCATACCCAGCTCTTCTTACTGAAGAATTTTTCACGATTACAGAGCCTGGGAACCCCCGCTTCCTTTATTGGATATTTTTTCTTCCTCCAAGCATAGCTCTGGCCCCTGATGAATCTGGGCCTAAGATTTTTGCTTTTAAGTGAGTCTGAAAGCCTCATGTTTTTCTGCAACCACCCTTGGGTGCATATGTCCTTCTCGGTACTGAGCTCACACTTCTCACCTGGCTTCTTGCTTCCACAAGCATCACCTGCTTTTCCCTCGACTGGTGACTCCTAATCTCCCTAATTCTGCAGCCATCACTTTGCCACCCATCCACACATACCTGCAGTGCCCATTTGACCTCTAGGCTTCAGATCTGAATTGCTAACAGCCTATAGGGCAATGTCATCTGCTGATACATTCAAACAAGAACTTGGCAATTTCTCTTTTACCCTTGACCCTCTTACAGAATTCTCTGACATTAAGACTGTCCACCTTTGACACCCTCTCCCACCACTGTCTCAAGTAGCCTCCAGACCTTCCAAGTAAAACTCACAAGGTCACCCTCATCAAATGCCTACAGACTTGGCAACCTTCATTGCTAAGTTCAAAGGTAAGGTCCAGGGAAGCTGTGTGGGAATTAGGGGTAGGAGCAGCAGGCACAAGGAAGTGGGACAGGAAAGCAGCGTGCAAATGATGCTGAAGGAACTCTCTAGAGTTCCTACTGGGCTGAGTGTGGGGAGGAGGGTACAGAGACAGGAGTGATTTTCAGAGATTAGCACAAGCAGGCCAGAGGGAAGAAGGGATAAGGCAGATGAGCTAGGGTTGCACACAGAGCAATTCATACAAAACGCCTTCTGTTGTGGGGTGCCCCCAGTCTGTCCTTGGGAGCCTGCATAGCTCACTAAGCCAAATGCTACCTAACCATTTTCCACCTGTCGCCACTGGACACCAGTGTCCCTTTTAAAATATAACAATTTGATGGCGTCACTTGCCTGACTAAGGCCCATTAATGATTTCCTCTACACTGCTTAGGATCTGAGTTCTTCCCTCCCCACCCCACCCCCACACACTTTCTGGCCATTCCCACTACTCCCCAGTCTTCTACAAGGGTTGTGAGGACTACTCCAGGCCTTTAGGGGACTTTTCCTTCTGGTCAAAATGGCTATCTTGGCCTCAGGAATTAAAGGTCTGAGCCTTGGGATGTTGACTAACTTGGGGCCTTGTGGCTGTCAAGTGGGGAAACTAGAAACTGGCATGAAACATACCTCAGTACCAACCTTCTGGCTGAGGGTTGCACATTCTTAGCATGTCCTCAAGAAAGTTTTTTTGGTGGTGGTTTTTTGAGACAGGATCTCCCTATAGCCTTAATTGGCCTGGAACTCAACTATGTAGACCAGGCTGACCTCAATTCCAGAGATCTACTTGCCTCTGCTTCCCAAGTGCTGGGATTAAAGATGTGTACTACCACACCAGGCCCAAGAAGTACTTTTAGCAAAATAGATAGGACTGCTAAGGGCTGACTGATAACCCTCCTTTCTATGTCCTTTTCCAGAACCTCCTATACCCACAACCCTTCTCCACGGTGTCTTCTCCTGGCTATCCTGGGCATGGGCCACCTTACTCTCCTCTACAGGCCTCATGCAGGGAGCAACTACAAATCCCTAATCACTGCCAGACCCCAACACGTAGCCTTGGGTGGTCACACTATTTGATGGAGTGTGTGCTGCCATGCCACCAACGATGTATGTAATCTCCAAAGCAGTTCTTTGGGGATAATAGTTAATTCCATTTTGCCATCTTAATAACTGAAATAGATTTTAATGAAGGCTCACTCAGAGTCACAGATAAAGGTGCTGTCAGTCCTTTGTTTTCTTCCAATCCTTTTAATTTCTTCATCTAATGTCTTTAACATGTACACCTTTTTTCTGTCCCGGGTAAAAATTTAGGGCCTAGAGATCCAAACAGGAATAGAATTTACACTTGAAACAGCAGGGTCAATGATGATGGGGGTGGCACCTCCTAATGAAACACCAGATGATCACAGTTCCCCAAGAAAGCCAGAGTACATTTTCCACTGTGCTGGGACAGTTGGGCTGGGCCGGACTCAGTGGCAGAGCATGTGACTAGCTTGAGCAAGGCTGTAGGCTAAATCCCCAGCACCACGAGACAACCAAAAGCAAAAACAATCATGTGGTCAGTGAACAGCGACATACCAATAGCCATATGTACAGATAACTATCATCAGATATCTCTTATGTTAATTTGAAAGTGTTTAAAACGGAAATGTACCACAGAAACCTAAATCTTGAATTAAGGAGCTTTCAGACTTCACATTACTTAGATTATAAAGATGCCAAAAGTGCAATTCAAGCCAAGAGAACAAATGTCCAGAAGCAAAGGCTCTTTGAAGTGTGACAGTCTTGAATGTCCATCTCAGCACACAACATGGCTCCTCCTCTGCAAAGCAGGGACAAGCTGCTGTCCTTATGAGATGGTGATGGGGACAAAATGTTAGAATATTTAACATCAAATAAAGGCCAGCTATTTTTCTGCATATGACTATGTGCTGGGAATATGATTTGATAGCTAGAGGAGGAAAGGATTAGAAAAACAAACAGAAATTTAAAAATACAGGAAATAAGCACAAATGCTCAACATTATTCAGCAGGCCATAAAAGCCAATCGCCACAACCCAAAGGACAATACGGTGGCAGCACCTGTGAGAATCCCTCATCCAAAATGCCTGGGTACTAGAGCTGCTTAAGACTTTCAGCTCAAATTTTGGGATATTTGCATATACACATCTAACAAAGCTTAGGGACAGGACTGCTGGATTGTCTTAACAGGAAATTCACGTGCGTTTCACAGATGTACTACCTTCACATACAGCCTGGAGGCAATTTTATGTGGTATTTTTAGTGTATAAGGTTCTGACTGTGACCTTACATGAGATCTGGAGTGGAATTTTCCACTTGTGGCTCTGTGTTGGTGTTCAAAGTTTTGGATTTTTAATTTTTGGATTAGGGGAGCTTAACTTGTATTAATCACTCCTACCTGTCCCGTCTGATAATGTCTGGCAAACTGGTTAACCACTCGGTAATCATTCGAAAAGTATTCCATTAGAATAGAGGGAACTTCAGCAAAATCAGTAGGGCACCTGGTTCCTAAAATGGGGAGAAAAAATTGATAGGAGTTAAATCAACATGTTTATCTTTCATTCTGTGAGTACTTTAAAAACTTTTATTTGTACTTCTGATGAACTATGATAAGCTTTAATTCACTGAATCAATTTTTCTATAAAATTATTGTAGATATTTGCTGAAAAGTTTATTATAATCCTATATATTTTTCTTTATATCAAAAGTAAAACAAAATATTTGCACAGCTGCTGAAACACCTTATAAAGCGATGGCTCACACCCTCTGCACACAGCCTGTCTTCCGCAATGCTGGCTACACATGAAATACAAATTAAAACATTCTTACAACTAATAAGACATTTATATTTAATTCTCTGAATTCCATTACCAAATGCTTTTAGTCTTCATTTCTTTTCAAAGTACTTTAATCTGCATACTGCTTTCTGTAACAAAGTCAGTGAAGAGAATCAATATTTAAACTCAAAGTTCCTTAAGGCAACAAATCCTGTAAGGACTTCTTTGTGACACTATTGTCTCAGTCAATCCACGCAGTCTTTTCAAACATCTTTTCCTTGCCTAAATTCTGTGTGTGTAAAGTTAGCTAGCAATGGATGCCAACAACTTTCCAGGAGGTCAAATGCTGACCAGTCATGGGAGAGAGTTAGAGACTAGACACTGTATAGCCAGGCATGATAGCACACACCTGTAATCCCAATATTTAAGAGGTAGAAGGATCAGATGTTCAAGGCTATTCCTAAGCTATATAGTGAATTCAAGATAGACATGGGTTACTTGAGAACCTGTTTCAAAAAAAAATGAACTTAGGGGGCTGGAGAGGTGACTCAGCAGTTAAGAGCACTGGTTACTCTTGCAGAGGACTTGGGTTGGTTCCCAGAACTCACATGGCAGCTAAGAACCCTCTGTTAATCCCAGTTCCAGGGGATTCGACGTCCTCTTCTGGCCTCAGTGGACACTGCATGCACATGGAGCACTTATATGCATACAAACAAAACATTCATATACATAAAAATTTTTTAAATTTTTTAAAAAATTAAAAACAAAGCTGGGCATGGTGGCACATGCCTTTAATCCCAGCACTTGGAAGGCAGAGGCAGGAGGATCTTTGTGAGTTCAAGGCCAGCCTGGTCTACATAGTGAGTTCCAGGACAGCTGGGGCTACAGGGAGACCCTGTCTCAAAAAGACAAAAAATAAAAAATAAAAACAAAGTAAAAAATTAGGACAACTAAGGAGAACATAGTTTTATTTTAAATGAAAGAAGCCAAATCCATTCCGTTTTTCATTCAGTAACTATATCAAGAACTGAGGAGACACCTATCTATCCATCATCTCACATGGCCACAAATGTAAGCTCCCTCCAATGTTATAAAAGAGAAACGGGCATAGATTCAGGACTGACAACTGAGAACTACTCCCAGCAAGAGTGGTTAGCAAGGACGGAAAAAAAAAAAGCATGCAAAGATCAGGTGTAATGGTAACCAAATGAGGCAATCTGAGATGAAGGACCAGCAGACACTCAAAATGATCATGGTTTCCAAAGAACAAATCTTTCTTCCAACTTAAAAAAAAACACCGTTTTTGAAGTATTATAGAAAAAAGCCTCTTCATGGCTCACCAGTGACATGTTGGTACCGAGTTCGTCCCAGCATAGAATGCATGGCATGGCCCATCTCATGGAAAAGATTTTCCATCATCCCAGGAGTTAGCAAGGTAGGGGAATCCCTCGCGGAATGGGGAAGATTCAGCATAAGAACAACAACTGGAAGCTGATAGGCTCCATCTTCCTTCAGCCTGCCACCTCGGATGGTAAAGTGGCAATCCTTGGAGAACCGAAAACATAGGCAGACAAAGTGTTAGGCACTCTGCAGAGTGATGAAGTCTTACTGAACATAAACCTGTATGTGAGTTCAGACTTTGAACTTGTTCTGTTTTTGCCCTGTATCACGTACCCCCCAAACCTTTTTTTATTCTAAAATTTTTATTCTCCATTGCAAAAAAATTTTTTTAAGAATTTTATTGAATTTTTGTGTATTTCATACAGAACATCTTAATCATCTTTATACCCCCTTCCCCATTGGTCCCCTCCCACAGCCTCCCCACTGGAATTCATATATTCTGTCATTTGTGTTAAGGCCTACCATGTCAAGTTAGTGTCCCCAAATGTTCCTCATTGCAAGTTCATCCACTGAAATCTAATCAGCCTATCTAGAGTCCCTCCCTTTAAGATGATCAGCTCTTCCTCACCCAGCAGGAAGCAACTGCCAATAATTCTTCGCTCTCCATTTCCCATAGTTCTGGGATTTTTGTCTGCTTGAGTTTGTATGAGTCTTGTACATGCTGACACCATTGCTATAGATTCTTATGAGAAGGATCCCAAGAACCTGTAGGACTCTGCATAGAGTCATGCACATCCTCCCTGACTCTTACAATCTTTCCACCCCCTCTTCCAAAATGGTCTATGGGCCCTGGGTGGGTAGATTTTAACATAGCAGTCCTATCCAAGGACCTACACTCTATAGACTCTTATTCTCTACATTTTGGTCATTTGTGACCTTTTGTACTCCTGGCCCTCTGTTGCATGAGGGAGCTTCATTGATGAGAACTGAAAATGCATTAGTGTTCTCTTCATCCCTTGTGCTATGTTCCATGAGCCTAAGGTGTAGAGGTTGCATTGTAGATGTGCCACTTAGGCTTGGGCAATTCACAGACAATCTCTGTGTGTGGAATTCTGTAATAATCTCCATCTGTTGCTATGTATGCTTGGCTATGTTTACAGTACCACACATGAGTTTCCTCCCACTGGGTGGGCTTTAAGTCATTTAGGTAGCTGCTGATTAGCCCCAAGACAAAACTGCCACTACTGCACTACTGCCGGTCACTGGTGTGGTTTTTAGTCCTTGAAGCTGGGATTGGACCATCAATTGATGTTTTCCCTTACCAGCTTGTATAGTGCTCTCCAAAGCTATGAGAGCCAGCCTTCAGGGGAGGTGGTTTCCAGGTCAGTTCTAGCTCCACTGCTCCAAATCCTGTGTCTGAAGTATGTCCTGTCTCCAGCAAGAGTCTTACCTTCAAGTTCTGGGAGGCAATCAAGGGCTATGGCAATAGCCTGTGTAATTTTGGGAGTCTCTTAGACTACCGTGGCCAACAGCTCAAAGAAAGGTTTCTCCTGTCTGGCTCTGTTTCTTGTTATGTAGCCTTCAGCTATACACATGGACTCATGTAGAGAGATTGTTATGTGTAATTTTTCATTAGGTTTTGGACTAATACATTCCCTCTGGTTTTTTATACTAGCTAGGCTAGTTATCTCTCCTCTTTCTCTCCACAGATAATACTCCCTTCATACCCTCCCTATTTAAAGTATCCCCATTTTCCCCATTTTGCTCTTGATAATTCCTGTCTGCTATGGTCTATCTTGAAACTGCTAATAATGAATTGGATTTATACTGATGAATTCATTCACGTCCTCCAAAAACACACACTGAACTGATAATGTATCCAATGCTAGAAACAAACTGAAATGCTGGGACCCACACTCAAGGTGGTCACAATGACTGATGTTTATGGTGAGTCCCTGGCTTGTGTCAGACAATAAGCAGGAAGACTTTAAGTCTGCTGTCCTCGCTCCTGGGAAATCTGGGTCTGAACTAGCTAAAGTCAAGAGTTTCCAGCAGGCCCCAGGCTGAGCTTCATAAAACACCATGTTAGTTCTTCACAATGACTTGAGGACACAGGAGTCTCTCTGCCCAGGTTAGACAAATGAAATTAAGCTTTGAAAATGCCAAGTGCTGCATCCAAGGGTACCAAGTAATTATGCCTTTTACATCTGAATCCAGCTGACTGCCAGAAGCCAGGACTGAGAACCCTTAAGCTTGGGATACAGAGCCCCACAACCTGCACACTGGTCCCCTCTGACTCCTGCTAGCCAAATCACTGTAGAAAGATGCAAGCCTGACCTGTAGAATATAGAATGCCACCTGTCAGATCCCAGACTACTTGAGCACATTTCTTGGCTCATTTCTGTTCAAATGCTTTGGAAACTGTGAATTACTACTCAAATGTCAGACAACACATTTTCTGTTATAACTGATAACCTGAAGTCTTGGCATTTCCCACTGAGATGCATGAAAATAGTGACCAGCTCACAAACCTGGTATGCATTAACGGAATGAAGCAAGCCTTGGCACCTTCCACACCATGAGCTATGTGGTTACAGAACAGTTTTTGTGGGCCTACCTTCTACAATTTTAAACCAGATTCATACTATTCTAGTTTCATTCTGTTGCTGTGATAAAAACATCTTAGGGAAGGAAACAATTTATTTGGCTCACACTTCCATGTTAGTCCATTACTGAGGGAAGTCAGGCAGGAACTTAAGTGGGAACTTGAAGCAGAAACCATAGAAGAACACATCTTGCTGATTTACACTCTCGTGTTCTCTTATACAGTCTGGGACCACCTGCCTAGGGATGGTACTGCCCACTGTGGGCTGGGTCCTCCCATATCAATTAGCAATTAAAACAATCCCTTAAAGACTTATACACAGGCCAACCAGATAAAGACAATTATCAATTGAGACTCTTTTTTCATGTGATTCAAGGTTGTGTCAGGTTGACAGTTAATGCTAACTATGACAATTGTCTGGCATGAGAGTGATTCAGAGCTGGGGCTCTAGACAGACAAGGTCCAGCACCTCTTACTGTATGCTTCTGGCCAAGTGCATAACCTCTCTGGCCTTACCTTCCTCATTGTGTTAGAGTCCAGCTCAAAAGGATGAGGTGACCATTAAAAGGTATGCATCTATAAAGGGATTGTTTGTTGTAAAAAATAAAGGGCTTCTAAAATGTCATCAATCATGATGAGTTTAATTAGTATCATGCTCCCAATACAAGTAACAGAGACTGATGCACTCCTTTTCATAACCATTATCATTTTCCAATTCTAGCTTATCCTCACATTATATATTTAGTAACTATCTTTGGTGCCTTTAATTATTACGGAATTAAAATGGCATATAACATTCAAATTAATACTAATAAACTGCTGGCCACTTCTACACAAGCCAGCTTGTAAAAGAAGGTTACCTGATGCGGCTTGTTTCCTCGCTGGAAAAAATCACAGTAAATGTACCCCAGCAATCCTTCAGATTCGTGAACAACAGCCTGGAACACAAGTTCAAATTTAGTGGTGAACGAACCCATTGAAAACTCTAAAAATAGAAAACATCCCTAGCACATCCCCATATAGTAAACATCCATAGCCACAGACATTTATATCCTTTCTACATCCCATGTTTCTCAAGTTATCCATGAGTTTTGTTCCATCTCTGGAGCAGCTATGACTTAGGAATCCTGTTTCCAGGAGACAACATCCTCCTGGTGGGTCCTTTGTCCTGCCCTACCTCTGTAATAACTCGCCACAGAAGACTGCTCAAGTGCTGCCTTTGGGCTAGAAAGTTAAGAACACTTGCTGTTCTTCCAGAGGACCTGGGTTCGATTCCCAGCACCAACATGGTGGCTAACAACCATCTGTAATTCCAGTCTCAGGAGATCCAACACTCTCTTCTGGCCTCTACTGGCACTGTACAACATGGGTGCACTTAAATACATGCAAGCAGAGGTGAAATGCTCTCCAATCTGACCATCCTTCAGTCCCTGCTCCACACCTCCCCCATGCTCAAAGAAAGGGCAAGAACTAGCAAGGCAGCTGACATCACTGGGAACCAGTGAAGTAAATACAGCCCAGCAAACACACAAGCAAGAGATAAAGAGTGCTGCACCACAAAGTCTCAGCAGTAAGTAATGCCTCAAAACCTTCTGAGAACAAAGCTAAAAGACCCACACTCCAGGTAAAGTAGACCCTAGTAGGAGAAGGATGAAACTACAGGCTTTAAGTTATTGTCAAAGAAGTCAAATAAATCGGGACAAGGATGAAATTAGTTTCTGATGCAAAGATCACCACTACCACAATAGAAGAGGTTGAAAGAAGGGCAGCAATATATCTGAGAACCAATCAAAAGCGGCAGAGCGTTGTCATTAAATAACAATAACCAACTCTCTACAACTAGAGTACATGAACATATGAAGGTGCATACGTGAAAATCAGCTTCTTCCACAGAAAAGCTTGTTTTGGAGAACTAACACTACTGTAATATGTTCAGGTCCTTTATTTAGGTCTAAATCAGAAGTGGTGCTGAGACTTGTTAAGAGAAATGAGCTGGGACACCCTGTCAGGAGTACAGCTGACTCCAAGGAGAAACTGCTGGGAACTCACTGAGAAAGGCAAAGGGCCTAGCAGTGCCACAGGCGGGGAAGGCTTACCAGCTTCCGGACAGCATCACACCACACCTCTCCCTTTGCAGGCTGCTCCACATATAAGGAAACACCCAACAGTTTGTTAAACAAGATATTCAGGCCTTCCATGCAAGCTCCAAGGGAGAAAAATGGGCAATATAAACTGGGCTCGATATTATACCTAAGACAAGGAAGAGAGGTTTGGCAGTGTTACTTCAGTTTCTGAAGGTACATTCGGTTAACTGTTCTTCTATATAAATATATATGACCAGAGTGACCAAGAAAGGGTTCAGAACTGAAGAAGTGCAGTTGGCAGTCCATCTTCTCAGGTTCTGCATCCAATGATTCAAATAACCACAACAGAAAACATTAAGGGAGAAAACGTGTCTCTTGAACTGTTTTATCTGTTGTTGCTTTTTCTCATTATCCCTCAAAAAACTGAAGACAATGCCCATTGCATTAGGCATTATAAACAGAGTACAGTTAAAGTCTGTGGGGATGGTATGTGTATGCTCTATCCAAACCATTTTACGTGAAGGACTTGAGCATCCTGGATTTGCATATCCACGAAGGGCCATGAAACCAGTCCCCAGGTGATATAGGGATAACCATCTATTTGTATCATTTGAGGGCCATTCAACTCCTGTTTCTTCAGAAGGGTCTTCATTAAGGAGTAAGTCTGACTTTACTGTAGTACTAATGATACTACTAGTACTGTAGTACTAGTGTGTGTGTGTGTGTGTGTGTGTGTCTGTGTGTCTAAGAAAGAGAGAAGGAGGGAGCATGCAACATGCCATAGCACATGTATAGAAGTCAGAGGACAACTTGGATTTAGTTCTCTCCTTCCACTATGGGTTCCAGGGACTGAACCAAGTTATCAGTCTTGCACAGCAAGGGCCTTTACCTGCTGAGCCATCGCACTGGCCCATCTTTCCCTAATCTTGATCCTTTTCAAGTTTACATTTTGACTAGCCTCAATGTCCCAGCACTACACACATTCTTTAATACACATTTACATACAAAATGTCACCTGTGCTGATCTTAAGGATGTCACTTTACAAAATATATTCTTTAAAAATAATGACTTGTTCCCCCTTTATATCATTGCGCTGGAGAATAATGAGATAAATAAAGGATTAAATGGGGTGGGGGATGGGAGGGCAGGGCTGAGGAGAGTATGGGGAGGGATAACTAATACTAAATGTCTTTAGAAAGTCATATAGAAACCTACTACTATAGAAGCTTCTTTTTACACACACACACGTGCACACACACACACACACACACACGAGAGAGAGAGAGAGAGAGAGAGAGAGAGAGAGAGAGAGAGAGAGTTACCCTATAATGGGGGTCCAATGGTCTTAACAGACACCACAGGTTAGAAAATAAAAAGCCCAATTCCAGAAATGAGCTCCCTCTTTTGGTGTTGTTGACCAGGGAGGTCTCATAGACCCTCAAACAATACTGGTCATTGCCACTGCTCTTGGTTACTCACCAGAACTTCATGGTAAGACTCTATTGCTGAAGACACTACATATGTAAGTCATAGAACAAACAAGGAGAAATCAAGCTGGTAATGACCTCAAAGCCTCATCTCTACTGGCTAGCCTTCATAGTACTACACAGTGCTATGTATGCTACTGGAAAACAAAGGTAATTATCAACTTTACCCAACTGTGAACCACAAGAGCCACAATAATGACTGGCCTGGCAAGATAGGCCCACTGGTGCAACAGTGACATGAACACAATGGGAGTAACCAACCACCTTCTGACTGGATTTAAGGACTGTTTCACAAGATGGAGCCCATACCTGGCACAGCTATCAGGGCCAAGAACCTGTGACTAGATAGGTTACAAGCCATAGGGGAGAACCTACTACTATTATTCTGCTAATTAGATATAGTATTAAACTGACTCCTAAAGACCTATTGTTATACCCATAGATTAGTGCATCTCTCATCTCTCATCTGAGACGGTTGTTCTTGCAGCAGATGATGACTAACACAGAGACCCACAAATGGTAAATATGCAGAAAATAAGAGTATGCAGTCCTAAATGGGTCACATCATACCCTCTCCTCCCAAGGATCAGGGACCATTAAGGAGGAAGGGGCAGAAAGATTTTAAGATTCAGAGGTGGTGGATGAATAAAAGGTAACTATACTGAACACCACAGGGTAGTTGCACATATGAACCCACAGCACTTGTGACAGCATATACAAGACTTGTGCAAGCCTAAGCCAAACCATGGAGGAAGGAGGTAGGCAGAAAGCCCCAGCCCTAGTTGAGGATCTATTGGCAACTGATGGCTGCTGGGAGAGGGAGAGTCAGTTTTCTTTTTGCTTTTTAATATTTTATTTGTTTTTTATTTTATATGTGTGACTGTACTCCCTGCATGTGTATAAGTGCTCCAAGTGTCATGCAATTCACACAGAGGTCAGAAGAGGGTGTCAGATCCCCCGGAACTGGAGTTAGGATGGCTGTTAGCCAGCCATGTGGTGCTGGGAACTGAACTCTGGTCCCCTGCAAGAGCAGCCAGTGCTCTTAACCCCCTGAGCCATCTCTCCAGCCCCAAGAGACAGTTTTCTTTAGGGGTGTAATGCCTGGTAGGTTGACCAGACTCCAAGGGAAAGACACATGCCCAAGAGCATTTGGGGAACACAGATTAGACTCAATATGCCTTTAAAACAAGAAAAAAAAAAAGGACATGAAGTCAGAGTAGTAAGGAAGGGGTGGAGATGACAGAGGGAGTCCACGTGCAGTTAAAATCCAGTATATGAAATTCTCATAGAACCAATAAAAGTATTTTAAAAGTATGACTTATAACATAAATACTAAGCAAAAAGCTTAATAAAAACTTAAAGCAAAAGAATGCTAAGTCAATTTAAGTTCTCATCTGGTAAAATAGTTGTTTATAGAAAAAAATGCCTGGACTATAAACCATCAGATTTTAATGTATATGTCATATAATTATGTATCTTAAATTAAGGACAGTATACTTGGGAGGCACAGTTATCTTCATTCTAATTATCTTCATTCACATTTTTTATACCCTACATATTCCAACATAACTAAAGCAGATCCAAAATATATTATTTGAATGTTTACTTTTGAGGTTAGGTCAGGCCAAAATTTATAACTGTAGTCAAAAATAATGGCTTTAAAAAAATTTAACTGCTCATTACATTTCTACTTTCTGGGTTTAATAACATACATATGTATAATTCTATATAAAATATATAAATGCAACCTTAATACTAAATAAATAAATGAATTCATGAGTAAATATAAATTTTACAAAAAATGAGATTTTTGGTGATGATAATTCAAACATACAACATAATCTCTTTTTTAAAAGATTTTATTCTCATTTTTAATAAATGTATATGTACATGTCTGTGTATGGGTATGTGCTGGAGTTACAAGTGGTTGTAGGCCACCCACTGTGGTTGCTGGGATTGAACTCTGGCCCTTTGGAAGAACAGCTAGTGCACTGAGCAATCTCTCCAGCCCATTGATCTGTCTTTCATGAAAGCAGAATTCTAGTGTTCAAAGTGGTATTAGAGGTCAGGCTCTTTCTTGCTGGCTCATCCTCTCATGTCTGCTGTCCACAAAGCTTCTGGATTCAGGGGGAATGAAAGGACAAGTCTGTCTCTACAGAGCTCAAAGCTCACAGTGAGGGAGGCTGAGGCATGAAGAGCTATGGCTGTCCTGAGGCTAGAGCAGCAAGCTGACACTCAATAGATAGCCAGAAGGAATGCGATAAGCAGTACCATGTAGGAAGGAGGACAGCATGCCTGAGCTGCTTATAGAGTGCAAGAGGAACCAGGGAATGCTTCACAGACAGGAACTGGTCAGAGCTCAGTATTGCTGGAAGAGGGGTAAGTGGCCAGAGTCCAAAAGAAGTAGCCTGAAGGGGATCCCAGCCTGAAGCAGCAGTGTGACAGAAATATGATGGCATAAAATAGCCAGGTAACTTCCAGAAAGGATGAGGTTGACTATGATACCATCCATGACATAGAGAAAAACAGAAAATGATGTGAGGGGAACGAGAAGGCAGGGACAGAAAGCAGAGGCCGGAGAGCAACATTAAACATTAGTCTTTTCTTCCAAATCCTGTAAAACTTTTTGTTTACGAAAAGGAATTCTAATCTTTTTTTTTTTTTTTGGTCTTTTTTTTGGAAGCAGGGTCTCCCTGTAGCCCCAGCTGTCCTGGAACTCACTATGTAGACCAGGCTGGCCTTGAACTCACAGAGATCTGCCTACCTCTGCCTCCCAAGTGCCAGGACTACAGCTGTGTGCCACCATGCCCGGTGGAATTCTAATCTTTTAATCCCTCCCTCCCACCACATCCTGTACCGGTAAGACATTTGTTTATGAAAAGGTCCTGATATAGGAATTACCACTTCCGCCAATCTCTTTCCTCTTTTTTTGCACCTATTCTTTTAAACTAGCCAATCAATGAGGAAAAGACATACTACTCCTGTGTTAGGGATAAAAACTTATCAAACTTCTGGGTGGGGTGTGCTTGCTTGATCTGCATGCCATATCACACCCTTTTGCAAAAGTAAAAGCTTTGTCCAAGTGTTCTTTGTGCAATATCAATGGGGTTCTTGATCCTCAGATTTTATTACTAACAGGAGGAACTGGGCCTGCGTATTGCAGGCTATGGTCCCTAAACTCCACTGTATTCCATCAATAAAGTAGCTTGAGGATTCAGCCTTACTACAAAGTATTCATAAATTATATGCATTCCACCACACATCAAAACAAAAGGGGAAATATTTTATGAGTTGAGGTAAAGAGAAACAAATGTAGACAGAAGTTCTAACATTTCACATCCACATCTCAAGAGACTGCTTAGAATATAAGTAGGGGATGCTGTCTGCAGGCAAGAGAGAGCAGAGATGGTTCCTCCAGAGCTTTGGGCCACAAGCTAAAGGGGGCTGGTGCACTGGGTGGGATCAGGATGAGGGAGATATGTGAGTCTGTTCTCCTTTGAGATGCAGAGGGAGCTAGACTGTGTGAGTGAGGAAGTGGAAAAGAAATGAGAACCCAGACAGTCTGAGATACACACAGCTGTCTGCCTTGGACAAGTGAGTTGGTAGTGTAGGACCCTGAGACCCTCTTCATTCACCCGCTACCCCCCAATCCCTCCAGACCCCCACTAATTGCTCTTT